GGACTTGGTATATGCTCTTGAGCATAATATATTTTCAACTCCGAAGTTTTCGACAATTTGTGCGAATGTCTAAAATATCTTACAAGCTTTTTCTTACTATCAATTTGCTTTCCAATCCGTGAAAAGAATATTTCTCAATGACATCGTTCCGATTATTTTCAAATAATTCCATTAGAAAATATGGCCTAACGAACTTTAGGAGTAACATTATGAAAGGTGATCAACTATAAATACTTTATAGGGCCTAACGTGATTACTTTGAGGATTTACAAACGGTATGAAGAAGCCAATTTAATAAAAGAGCAATAAATCTATATATATAAAAATCAATTGTTGTTCGTTGGCAGTGGAATCACTTGAGAACGGCTGAACCGATTATTATAATTTTTTATACAAACGTTCGCAATACCCCGAGTTAGGTTTAAAAAAAATCATGAAGATATCTGTTCCACAATTAGTATACGACGTAGCCTTGTCTCTTCCCCCCCCCCCCCCCCCAAACCATATGTAATTGTTTGGGGTCAGACGAACTGGCCACACCTACTTCGGCCGGGCCGAACTTTGAATAACCTCAACCTTTTGGAACGAATTAAAAAATTTTCAAAAAATACAATGCTTAAAAAATTCTGTTAAAAATACCAAATATAGCCGTATATTGGGGTCTATACGACGTGGACCTACATAGGCATTGTTTGTCATAAGCCATTACCATATTCAAACTCGAAGCTTGATGTAAACAGTGAATAATGTAGCTAAAATTGTCAAAATATCGCATATAGGGAGGTACCGTTATATCGGAGCTGTGCGAAGACGTGCACCTGCATAGACAATTATCTGTCACAGGCTGTAGCATCCATTACGAACTTCAAATACCACATATCAAACAATTTCGATGGGATTGTACCTAAAATCGTCAAAATACCGAATATAGGGATGTACTGATATATGGGGCCTATACGAAGACCTGGACCTACATAGACAATTTTCTGTCACAGATTGTAGTTCTCATAACGAAATCCACATACGTAATTTGAAACAACTCTGGTGAATAATGACGCTAAAATCATCAAAATACCGAATATTGGGAGGTACCCTTATATGGGGGCTATACGAAGACGTGGACGTGCACAGACATTTTTCTGTCCTAGGGTGTAGTATCCATTTCGAACTTCAAATACCAAATTTGAAAAAATACCGTTAAATAATGTCGCTAAAGACATCAAAATAACGAATATAGGGAGGTACCGTTATATGGGGGCTATACGAAGACGTGGACGTGCACAGACATTTGTATACCCTCCACCATACTATGGAGGGTATATTAACTTTGTCATTCCGTTTGTAACTCCTCGAAATACTCATGTCAGACCCAACAAAGTATATATATTCTTGATCAGCATAACATTCTACGTCGATTTAGCGATGTCCGTCTGTCCGTCTGTCTGTCTGTCTGTCCGTCTGTTGTAATCAAGCTATCTTTCGAATGAATTGAGATAGATGGCTAAAATTTTGCACACATGTTTATTTTTCCAGTAGGCAGGTTAAGTTCGTAAATGGGCCATGTAGGTCCACGTTTTCATAAAGCCCCCATATAACGGTACCTCCCTATATTCGGTATTTTGATGATTTTAGGGACATTATTCACCGGAATTGTTTCAAAATTGGTATTTGAAGTTCGTAATGAATACTACAGTCTAAAATAGAAAATTGTCTGTGTAAGTATATTCGGTATTTTCATGATTTTAACGACATAATTCACCGGAATTGTTTGAAAATTGGTATTTGAAGTTCGTAATGAATACTACAGTCTAAGATAGAAAATTGTCTGTGTAAGTCCATGTCTTCGTATAGTCCCCATATAACGGTACCACCTGATATTCGGTATTTTGGTGATTTTAACGACATTATTCACGGGAATTGTTTCAAATTTGGTACTTGAAGCTCAAAATGGATACTACACCCTAAGACAGAAAATTGTCTGTGCAGGTCCAGGTCTTCGTATAGCCCCCATATAACAGTACCTCCCTATATTCGGTATTTTGATGATTTTAGCGGCATTATTCACCGGAATTGTTTCAAAATTGGTATTTGAAGTTCGTAATGAATACTACAGCCTGTGACAGAAAATTGTCTATGCTGGTCCAGGTCTTTGCACGGCTCCAATTTAACGGCACCTCCTTATATACGATATTTTGATGATTTTAGCTACATTATTCACCGTTTATTTCAAGTTTCCAATTTGAATATGGTAATGGCTTATGACAAACAATGCCTATGTATGTCCCATGGTAGAAGAATATAGGTAGACGCGTCGACACAGCTGCTGGGACAATGAACTGTTAAACCAATTTTGGAATTGAAAATGTTGAATGAAAAACTATTTAAATTTATAAAAATTTTTGAAAAAAACGCGAAATATAGTAGCCTCCGAATGACGTAGTATAAGAAAACATATAAAAATCTACTTATATTTGAAAAAAACATTTAAATTTTGTTGACATATCAATGCTCCCAAGCGTTGATGCATCTACCTGTATTCTTCTGTCATGGTATGTCCACGTCGTATAGACCCCAATATAACGGCTATATTCGGTATTTTTAAAATTTTAACAGAATTTTTTAATGATTTTATTTTTAAAAAATTACCAAATTCGTTGCAAATGGTGGAGGGTATTAAAAGTTCGGCCCGGCCGAACTTAGTGCTTTTTATACCCACCACCATACTATGGAGGGTATATTAATTTTGTCATTCCGTTTGTAACTCCTCGAAATACTCATGTCAGACCCAACAAATTATATATATTCTTGATCAGCGTAAAATTCTAAGACAATTTAGCCATGTCCGTCTGTCTGTCTGTCTGTTGTAATCACGCTATCTTTCGAACAAATTGAGATAGAAGGCTAAAATTTTGCACACATGTATATTTTGCCAATAGGCAGGTTAAGTTCATAAATGGTCCATGTAGGTCCAAGTTATCATATAGCCCCCATATAACTGTACCTCCCGATATTCGGTATTTTGATGATTTTAGCGACATTATTTATCGGGATTGTTTCAAATTTCGCATCTGAAGTTCGTAATGGATACTTCAGCCCATGCCAGAAAATTGTCTGTGCAGGTCCACGTCTTCGAATAGCCCCCATATAACTGTAGCCCCCCCCCCCCCCCATATTCGGTATTTTAATGATTTTAACTACATTATAAACGGATTTTTCTTCAAGTTTCACATTTAACTTATTGTAATAACTTATGACAAAATATGCCTATGCAGGCCCACGTCGTCGTATAAGCACTCGGTATTCTTCAGATTTTAACAGAATTTTTAACGGATTTAATTTTTTGGAAATTGCCAAATTTGTACCAAATGGTGGAGGGTATTAAAAGTTCGGCCCGGCCGAACTTACAGCTTTTTACTTGTTCTGTCTTAGGGTGTAGTATCCATTTCGAACTTCAAATACCAAATTTGATACAATTCCGGTGAATAATGTCGCTAAAATCATCAAAATTCCGAATATCGGGAGGTATCGTTATATGGGGGCTATATGAAAACGTGGACCTACATGTCCCATTTACGAACTTAACCTGGCTACTGGAAAAACAAACATGTGTGCAGAATGTTAGCCATCTATCTCAATACATTCGAAAGATAGCGTGATTACAACAGACAGACGGACAGATAGACAGACAGACAGACAGACAGACGGACAGACAGACAGACGGACATCGCTAAATCGACTTAGAATTTTATGCCGATCAAGAATATATATACTTTGTTGGGTCTGACATGAGTATTTTTGAGGAGTTACAAACGGAATGACAAAGTTCATATACCCTCCATAGTATGGTGGAGGATATAAAACATTTTAACACATCAAAATATTAACACATCAGTTGAGAACGGCTGGACCGATTTAACTCAAATTTTTTTTGGTTATTTGTAATTACAGTGGAAACGTTGTCATGAAAGAAAATGTTGAGAAAAATCGCGGAACTGAAAAAAATTGACTGTCCTATTATGATATGGAATTTTGTGTAGAATTGTTTCAGAATTCCTTTTGGAATTGAAAATTCTTATTGAAAAAAAAACCGAAAAAATCGAGAAAGTTTGCATACAATCTTGGGGTTAGGAAAATTTTGGGTTGGTAAATAAAAATCCCAAAAGAGGGGTACCCGGATCTTTTTTAGAGTCCATTTTATATAGCTTAACCACACACAAAGGGTCGCAAATATTTTGCGTATACTCCGCAAAAGTTACGATAACGTTTTAAATTTGATACAGTTCTAGGGGTTACATCATTTGTACAAAATATGTATCAGGTTGGTCTGCATTGTGATATAGCCCCTTTCAAATTTCTCAAAAGTTGGTAATTTGAGAAAGAAAAAAAAATTCTTTCAAATAATTATAAATATAGGACCATGCTCCATTATAACTCTTATGTGAAGGTATCCGGTGATTTTAGCTATTACGAGAGTCTTAGTCACATTTTTCAATTGATTTTGCTCTTATTTGGCATCTAGCTTCTAGTAAAAGACCTGTTCGTGGAAATTTTTCAATGTCATACAAAAATACCCCCTGATTCTACCTATTTCGAGGGCTTTGATTATATTTTCGAATCGATTTTACTTAAAATGTGTATTTAGGCTACTTTGGGGGTAGAGAACCATCTTACATGGGCCTATTATAAACAGTTAATGTAAACTTTTTAATATATATCCTATATTATTTAGGGTTTTAACTCTAAAACTAAAACCTCTTACTGAAAAATGGGATCAGGTTTTTTAAAAGACGTATTTAGTTCTATTTAATCGAGTCATCATTTGTATTTATAATAAAAATGGTGCCGTTTATGTGAACCAGATGTGTGAATTATTATGCTTTAGAAACTATGCATTAACGCGGACTGGGCCAGCTAGTATATAATAAATATATACATCTTGTTTTCATATATACTTTCACTTAAATTATGTTAAGTTATTCTAACGATATATTTCTTTCTAGGTAACGCTGTCAATCTCGATTCTCATTAGTCTCCACGTGTTCTTCTTACTAGTTGTCGAAATTATACCACCGACGTCATTGGTAGTGCCACTTCTAGGGAAGTACTTAATATTTGCTATGATATTGGTTTCGATCAGGTAAATGCAACCTTTATATTTACAAAATAACTACACATCCACCCCAGACTAAAAATACCAAGAGACGTTGGAGGAATAAAAACCAAGGAAAATTAATCAATAAATGTTGTAAATTATTAACACTTACAATAATATTATATTATCAGATATTGCATGACGTGACCACAAATAAACTTCGACATATCATACGACGGGGCTATATCAAAATATGCAAATTTGTTAGAACTCGAAAAGATAGGTGAAGTGTAGTAAATAAGTAACTATGTACTAAGGTGGAATGTAGAATATACAAGTGGTGGAAAAATAGTAGGGTTCTCTTTTGTTCTATACTGTAACATCAAGCAAAAATTAAGCTTCAAATAGTCTGTAATTCGTAAGCACAAAAAAAAAACTCTTAAAGAGAGTTGGAAACGCACTCCATCTATTTCTTTTGTGCTACTTTACAACATATGTTAACATTCAGACAAAAGAGAAAAAAAACTCTACAACAGACAAATTGACAGAATTTGGAAATTCGTCGGATAAAAGAGAGGACAAAAAACACTTAATTTTTAAAAGCAATAATCCAAGCTGTTTAATAATGAGGAATATTGAACCTAGTAAATTCTACTAACATTAATTAATACATGAATTAATTTTATATTTTACTTAGTACTGAAATTTGTAATGGAATCGCCCATATTCAGAATTAATAATAATAACTTATTTATTTTCTAACGGTCTCTATGACTTCCCACACTTCTTTGTTTCAGTCTCTTTAATACTCACTCAATGAGAACCAATTCAGCACATTCCGCAAACTCATTGACATTGCAGCAACATATCTTGCGTTGTTGTTGTTATTATGCGTTTGCAATCTCTTCTTTGCCCTTCAACAATCAATGGTAGAGAAAGATTTGTCAGTCTATTTTTTGACCTTGTGAAGAGTGTGTGGAAGATCATAGAGATAAAATGAAATTATATTGTACCAAAACAATGAGAACAAAATAAAAACTGAAAACAACAAAACCGAATTTTATTTTACCAAAAGTGACAAACAAGGCAAAGTGAATAAACAAAAAAAGGTTAAAACTTTACAAGCTAAGCAAAAGGAAAACAAACAATTAACATTTGGTCCTCGCGAGCCGCATAGTGCAAGAACTATTAAAATATTCCCTACAAAAATTGTACCAGTGACAACAAACATAAAAAGACATACTTTGATAAATAATGATCTACCAATAAACAAAGTGGAAGTGATCATCATCGCCCTTACAGGCAAAACAAACTAAATAAAGTGGAAATTAATTGCAATAAAAAGTTAATACTGTGACCTCAAAATACCTGCCAAAAATTGTGCTAAGACATAAGTTTAACTTTCAACAAAAATAATATGTACCGCTATTTTTAACGGGATATATTTTCTCAAAGTTAAACTTTGTACAACATCAACATTTAAGTGTTTTTTGTTTTAGACCTCAGACGACTTACAACAACAAAAGGAGCAGCGACCTCTTCAACAGAAATCTCGCAAAAAGAGGAACACAACAACAGTAAGCAAATAACATCAAAAATTACATTTGCAAAGTAAGTACATCATACCAATACTTACACATACACATGCATCGTTACGGTACATATCAGAAAGTGATTGATTTTAAAATTGTTAAACTCAGTATTTGTTTTAAATAAAGGGTTGCCATCCCTAAGAATTTATAAAACATTCGGGTGAAACTTTTAGCTGGATACTTGATGACCTTTTTTACGATAGTTCGTTGACATATACCAATCTATTGTACATATATCATACGATTATTCCAAACAATCAGTGAAGCCTAAAAATTGACCTTTCTTGGGGATTTCAAATATTTGCAAACAAACCTGATTTTGGATTTTTTCATACATTTTCCTTGCTCTGAACGAAATTGCAACCAAGGAAACTTGGGGTATTTTGGACATTCTTTAACTTTTGGACGAAATATTAAACTCCGACGTTAACATTTTTCCCGTAATATCGTTTTTTGGACTTCGCTGATATAAATTGCTGGATTTTCGACATTTCTTGGATTTTTTTTGACTTTTTGAACTTTTATTGCAAGTAATTGGGCAACTATATACATTACTTTCAACATGGATGTCACAAAGAAGTTCACCAATGCCTACAATGATTTGGTAGACTTCCACGAATTGCAAGCCAGCAGCACAGCCGAGGATAATGTGCACTCCCTGGAAGCTCATCGGATACACCTGGACCATATCTGGAGCCACTTCAAGCGATGTTATGAAGAATGTAGGGATTATGAACCCAAAGAAAGTGATCCTCCCATCGAACTTAAAAAGCTACGTGCAACATACAGAAATGCCATTACTACCTATAAAGTTACCCTAGGAACAATAAATGCAGAAATTGACGTCCTTACGAACAAGGCCTCGAAGACATTGGAAAAAAACATACTGGAAAATCCCGTTCATTACTCCATAAAGCTTCCTCCATGCCATATTCTATGGCAGCTACAAAACATGGCCGACCTTCCGAGACCTTTTTTCCGCCATTTACGTTAAAAATCCGAAAATTAGTAAGGTCGAAAAACTATATCACCTCAATCAGAAAACAGGAGGTGAAGCACGAGACATCATAGCGAACATTCCGCTTACGCATGATGGCTTTGATCTTGCTTGGAAAAACCTGACTGACAGGTACGAAACAAACGCATGCAAGTGAATGAGCAATTGAAAACCTTGTTCAACTTACCTTCGGTAATCTTAGACTCAAGCTCATCACTAAAGACATTGCAACGATCAGTTACGGGTTGCCTTGAAACATTAAAAACTTTAGACATTGACGTTAAATCCTGGGACCCTATTCTTTTTTATTTATGCTCTCAAAAAATGCCTAGAACTTACCTGCAAGATTTTGAAAACATACTAGACTCGAGTTCGGACATTCCAACATGGAGTGAGTGCAACAACTTCCTCACACAAAAATTTAAAATACTCGAGTCTGTTGGAAATATTCAATCAGTGCCTTCTAAACGTTCTCAGAACGACAAAAAATTCACTCTTTTCACACTAACATTGAGCTCAAATCAAAGAATACTATGACAAATAAACAACATAGACCTCAAAACGCGGTAGAGTATAAATGCCAACATTGCAAAGAACATCATTTTTTAAGAAATTGTCCCAAGTTCCTACAAAAGAATGCAAATGACCGTATTCACCTTGTTAAAATAACAAACACTTGTTATAATTGCCTCTTAACCAATCATGGAGTAAACGAGTGCAAAAGCAAATTCAATTGTCGAATTTGCAATCTCCGACATCATACGCTTTTGCATAAGGGAAGCTGAACACAAACAATTCCTGAATCCCAACTTGATGTACGACCTAGTACAAGTACACAAGCACTTACCTTAAAAATACAGTCCACACCTTGTATCAAACCAAAGCAACTCACCTCACTTGCTCTTCGCGATGAGAATAAACCTTATTCAAAACCAGAAGAGACTTTGCTTTTCACAGCCCTAGTGGAAGTTAAATCGAACGGTCAGAGGTTTGAAGCCCGCGCAATCATAGATTCCAGCTCTCAATCGACCTTCATCTCAGATAAGCTGAAAAATCGACTTCGACTTCCAACCAAACGCAACCTTGTACACGTTTCAGGACTTAATCCAGCAATGACGGAAACATCAACACAAGCTTGCATTTTCACTCTTCGTTCGCGAATTAATCCTGATTTCAAATTAGACGTTTGGGCTCCTGTTTTAAAAACTTTATTGTTCAATTTGCCACCACGAAATATGGATATTGACAATTATGATGAATTAGAACGCCCACTTGCTGATCCACTTTTCTACAAGAGCAGACCAATTAACATCCTCATTGGTCTCGACATTTGTTCAAACATTTTTGACCTGGCGATTCCGATGCGTTCACACGGTTCCTTATTGACTCAAAAAACAGTTTTTGGGTGGATTGTTGGGGGACCTGTAGAGCGATCGACCCAGTCACATAGACATATCTCGCTGGTCAACGCTGTGGCGTTAGACAACCTACTAACACAATTTTGGGAGGTGGAGGAGCCGCCAAGTGAGACTTTGCGATCCCACGAGGACATCTTTTGTGAAGACTTGTACAAGTCTACAACTGAAAGAACGGCTTCTGGAAGATACATGGTTGAGCTTCCTTTCAAAACTGCTGAGGAAATCGGAAATTCACGGAACATCGCAATGGCTCAGTTTCTTCGTATGGAAAAAATGCTCAGCGGAAAACCAGAAATCAAAGACCTTTATGATAAAACAATCATGGAGTATTTGGACTTAGGCCACATGAAAAAGGAGACCTTATAATTCAAACTTTAAAATGGAGGTTTTATAAGTTCGTATACAACGCCGACATTACCAAAATGTACAGGCAAATTTTAGTCAACCCTTCGCAAACAAAATATCAGCGAATTCTCTTTCGCACTTCGCCTAAATATCCTATTGAGGACTTTGAACTTTTGACTGTGACATTCGGAGTTAATTGTGCCCCCTTTCTAGCAATACGGACCTTGCTCCAGCTAGCCGAGGACATTAAGGAGACACATCCGTTAGCCTCACATATATTACGGAACAATATGTACGTCGATGATGTCTTGGCAGGAGGACACACAATTGAAGAAGCGGTGGTTTCTAAAAACCAACTCTCCGGTGCATTAGCCTCTGCAGGGTTTGATCTCCGAAAGTGGAGTTCCAATCACCCCACCATAATTAATGACTTACCACCAGACAGCCTACTATCCGACGATTGTCTTCACCTCTCTGAAAACCTAGTTACGAAGACACTTGGTATTAAGTGGAACATTAGTCGTGATTTGTTTTCATTCCCGCAACCCGACATCACACCCAAGTCGTCCTTCACTAAGAGAGAGGTTTTATCAATAATAGCTAGATTTTTCGATCCTTGCGGTTGGTTAGCGCCTATCATTGTAGTTGCCAAGCTCATTTTGCAGCAGATTTGGCTAAACAAGGTAGGGTGGG